TCTTTGAAGTTTCATGTGAGCCAGAAAGCTCTTCTCATTCCTCCTCATCCCCTACCTTCTAACCTGTGTGTGTGTGTGTGTGTGTGTGTGTGTGTGTGTGTGTGTGTGTGTGTGTGTGTGTGTGTGTGTGTGTGTGTGTGTGTGTGTGTGTGTGTGTGTGTGTCCTAGCATTACTATCCTTGTAGGGACCTACATCTGTTTACACAGTCACGTGTGGGGAATGGCGGTCCCCATGAGGGGAATCATTCATTTTAGGGTGAAGACTATGTAAGGGTTAGGGTTAGGCATGTGTTGGTTATGGTTAAGGTTAGGATAAGTCTCCAGGAAATGCATGTAAGTCAATGTAATGTCCCCTGAAGTAAACTTGACCCACTCTACCATGCTGCACTGCGATACATATCAAATGCACCCTATAGGACTCATCATTGCACACTGTATAGCCTAACTGGATGGTCCTCACTTAGTATGCGTAGGATGCAGCATTGGTTGTTATTAATGTATAAAGCCACTTTAGGTAAGCTTCCACTGTACATATGTGCCAGATTTGCTCCAGTTTGTGACTCTTACAGCCTCAGATCCAGAGCCTGGATACAGGTCCAGGTTCCTGCTGTGCGGACTGAGGCTGGGAAAAGGAGTCTTTTTCATTCTGGTCCTTGGTCTTGGAATGACCTTCAATCAAGCCTCAAACTGAGGGCACTTGTCCCTATTGCATGTTTTAAATTGAAGATGTCTGAGGTCCTTACCACCAGCTGCTCTTGCAGTAATAAGTAGTGCACATTTCTTACTGTCCTAATGTGCTCAATGTAGCGACTGCAATGTAGTGCATGTAGTGTCAGCATTGCAAATGAGATTCTATCTCAATGCTTTTATCTGGTTAAATAAAGGTTAAATACATTTAAAATTAAAATGTATACATGGTATGTGTGTGTGTGTGTGTGTGTGTGTGTGTGTGTGTGTGTGTTGTGTGTGTGTGTGTGTGTGTGTGTGTGTGTGTGTGTGTGTGTGTGTGGGAGTTACACATGTGCATGAGATAGAGAAAGGGAGCAGCCAGAGGAAGAGATATGAGAGGGTGGGGCTGAGCTGTCTGCCCAGAGAACATAAAGAGAAAAATACGGCCATAAAACGTCTCTATGACTATGAATACTAATTCTGACTCTGTGAGCCAAAGCAAGCCGGTCTGTCCTCTCTCTGTTCCCTCTGTCTCGAAACCATGTGGCTTCAAAATAAAGCAGAAACAGTGCAGGCAGGATTGTAAAGCTCGTATTTACAATATGATGTTCACACAAACAGTTCAGAACAGAATCTGAATACAGAATTTCCCTTTTATTTCCGTGCTGGTTTTTATTAATTTGGCTGTCGAGTGGCAACAGATTATTGTAGCTGTAATCATTTACAACAGAAGTGGGGGACATATTGTGAGCTTTGGAAGCATGGAGCTGTGGCTCAGTGGGTAGTGTGCTGGACTTGGAATCAGGGGTCACAGGTTCAAACCCCACTGCAGTCAGCATGTCGTTGTGTCCCTGGGCAAGACACCCTGGGATTGCCCACAGTACTGAATGTATGTAAGTCGCTTTGGATAAAAGCGTCTAACTAATGAATGAGTAATGCCAAGACTTAAAATGTGGGGGTCCAAAATATCTTTGGTTCTTACCACACTTTAAGTTATAATCTGAAACATATTAGATACTGTACATGTTGGCATGTATAGGTATTAAAGGGTACTTCACTGTTCAACTCTGCATCTAAAATAAAGGAACGTTCTCGCCCCAAAAAACAGTATTGTAAATTCGGTCTCCTTGATTAGACAAACAAAACTAACTGTGATAATATTGATATGAATAATGATCATTTATGGAACATTATTCACATTAAGACTGAATATTATATCAAAATGATAGTATTTTTGAGGATCTACACTAAACAAGGATTTTGTATTAGGTCTGTAAAACACAATGTTGTAAGTTGGGACTTCTCCACAGCCATGCACTAATAAATGTAGAATGATATCTCGATGTCTTTTGCCTTTACCTTATATTGCAGAGATCAAGGTATTGCACTTGTCCATATTGCACTTCACAGACCATTTCAATTATTGCATAGCCCGATTAGGACGAAATGAAATCAAATGAAACACATAATAATCCCGGACACGATGCATTAATGAACTTTGGGACGATTATTGTGAATGTTATCATTTTGATGAAGACCTCCTTGTTACTACAAATGCATCATTTCGCATTGTTTGTAAGTATTCAATTGGGAATCACTCTTTTATTGAAAGCAGGCAGACAACATGCTACTTATTTCTCACAGATGAAGAGTCAATGTGGAAGCAACTTCAAAACAAGACATATTGACAGTTGGAGTTGTAAGAGGGGGGTAGTGGAACGAGTCGCCACACTGAGCTGCTGAATGAAAAGCCTCAGTCTGTGGTTTATGGGAACCAGCACTCCTCTAACATTCGGAGTAAATGTTTTCACTGTGCCGTGCTGCCCACACTGTGCGTGCATCATGTGATCCCAGCATGACGCAAAAAAGGCCACTTTTTGACATTCGACAACATAAAAACAACATAATGGTCTGCACACAGTTTGGCTTTCTGAGTCTCTGCTCTTGTATTTTTTATTTTCTTTGGTTGTTTTGGAAATGTTTACTTCCAAAATGGTAATGTCATTTCCATCTGAAATGTGGGGGCCTGTACTGTATAAGCTTACTAAGCACAAAGGTGACCAAAATGGAAATCTTAAAGGTCCCATGTCATGCTTTTCCGGTTATCACCCGTCCCCTTGTGTGTTTCTGCATGTGAACGGTCTGCAGAGTCACAAACCCTCAAAGTACACTCTGTAGCGAGTAAAACTCTAACACAGAGAAGACCTGTCTGTGCTGCCCCAGAACGCCTCGTTGGAGATCTCTCTTTTTCCATTTGTTTCTTCCGGGAACCGCATGACGTCATGGACAAATCAAAATGGACCAATCCGCGGAGCTCCTCACACACCAGGACCTTTAGCGTACAGTTTCAACTAACAGGGAGTCCCATTGACTTGCATAGAGCTCCCTGGTTGGTAATAGACGAGTTGGGATGGTGGAGAAACGCTCTCCGCAGACCCATTCTCACAGCGTTAGAAACCTTTTTCTTTCTCAATATCAAGCCACACTTATTGTTTTGACTTCGGCTGTGAGTGTGTGTGTGCTCAGGATGAGTTTCGCGCTGTATCGCCGACCCGGAAACCACACCAGTAAGCCAGCTCAGTGAGCAGCGAACCTCGCAACGTCCCGACCAATCAGAGCACACTGGGCTCACAGGGGGGGGGGGGCAGGAGCTCCAACAAGCCGTGTAGGACAGAGAGTGAATACACAGACTATACAGAGATGCTGTGAGAAACCAATGAGAGTTTGGAACATTGCACAATATACATTTATTCTAGTAGACCTCAACAATGGAATTATGATCAGTAGAGATGGCCATGACATGGGACCTTTAAGTATTATATTTTGAGGGCAAAACAAAAGATAAAAGGTGGTTCTTCTTCTGGAAATGTAACTTAATCTGGTTTTGAAATATGACCAGCCATTAGACTCTGAAACACCTCATCTCCTCGTCTTAGTGTCACTGCAGGTTACCAGATATTTCATTAAAAAAGGTTTTCTCAACTATTTCATGCCATGTTTTTCTAAATTCCTCAGTATATTTACAGTCAGATGCTCCTTAAAAATACCTGTTCTTTCATGGTGCCCCCCCCCCCCCCCGACAGCGAGCTTTTCTCTGACAAATGTTGGAGGACAGAAGAAGAAGTGGTAATCTCTCAAGCATTTCTAATGAGTTTTTCTCCTACAATTATTTGATAAGAACAGACAAGACTGGAGGCAGCGCGTATGATACACCGACTCCTACTGCTGAGGTGAGAGCGCTGCTGATTAACACACACACCCACACACATACACACCCACACACATACACACACACACACACACACACACACACACACGTTTGTGCATTTGAGGGTCCGCCAGATTTAGTGCCGTTCCAAACCAACTATAGTGGGGAGTGGGAGTTATTAAACCCTCCATCAGGGAGTCTGTACACGTCAGGACTTAACCACCTTACCGTGTGCAACACTGTTTGTATAGGTCATGAAACGCTGTGTAGAAACATTTCCGTGGAAACTTTGACTTGAAATTTGTGCAAAATAAGAAAAGAAAATACATTTTATATTGTCATCTTGAATGTCTTGTGTTTTTATTGTTCTTACTTATATACCCCTTTTCATCCTATAAAAAACATGTGTAATTGATTGTAAAGTTTTGAACATGGACTGGTGCAAAAACCGAGCAGCTCGTCATAAACGTCAGATTTATAAACGAAAAGAGGTTTGCAAAAAAAAAAATATATTCTCACTGTTTTCTGTTCTTTTGTCTTTTCTTTCAATTAATGTCATCTCGTTTCACTGATGTCTCAAATTCAGTTTTTTTCCCAGGGCCATATGTGCACTAAACGCTGCTAATATTTAAATTATATAAGCCTTCCGTGCAAAACGAGGGGAATCGTGCAATTTAATTTATTATTTATCTATGTACATATTCCCTATCACGTCTATTTAAGTCCCATTTCTTGTTTTCATAGTGTCTTGTTGTTGCGTGTTGGCACCTTGAGTTCATTGTAATTTCGTTGTACCTGTACAATGACAAATTAAAGATTTATATCTATGTAAGTCTGCAGTAGGTTTGTTGTATGCTTGTAAGGTGTCTTTGAGAATTTAGAAAAGCACAAATATATCAATTAAATGTATAATTATCAAACGCTTTGTTGTGCCAAATGCAGATTGGACAATTGGAGAAATCAGGACTGAGAGAGAAGGGAGTTTGTCCCAAAGCTTGCCGCTGTTTCAAAACCCCTTAAAGTAGGAGCCTTATTCAGCTGGGAGTGTGACCATAGTTCACTCAGCTGGTTGGAAATGATCCAAACTCCCCCCCCCCTCACAGCCCTCCCCCTCCCCACTCACCACGCTGAGGCCCAGCTGCTCCCTCTGCAGGAAGGGCAGGTTCCTGCGCTCCAGGCTGTTCAGGTAGTGCTGCAGTCTGGAGTAGGTGTATGGGTAGCAGTACGCAAACTGGTACACTTCGTCCTCCCGGTCGAAGCAGAAGGCGAAGGACATGACGTAGTTGCGCCGGTGGTCCGGAGAGCGGTAGTAGTACACGTTTTTTGCGGGAAGCCTCTGCCTGCAACAGCAACATATGTAAAACACATTGTAGAAGAATTAGATGGGGGTCTTTTACAGGACACAGCTTTACTTTTCTTAGGTGAACATATGGGGAACAATTAGAGCTCAGCCTTTTGCAAGAGAAGGGAAAGAAATTGAAAAGATAGACAAGGAAAGTGAGTCATGAGTTAAACATAGAGAGGTGAGAAATCTCATCGCAGGAGTTGCATCAACTTGTCAGAAAGTCAACTTCCAGAGAGCCGGAGTGTAAGAGCTGCAGGAAGGGGAATCAGCTGCTACTCAAAACACTCTGACGTTCAGAACTTATAACGGGTTCATATTAAAATAGAAGAAGAAGTAGATGTTTGTGTTTCGCACAACAATTCTCTCATCAATTATTTGAAAACGTCTCGATCAGGGGGGTCAAACTCAAGGCCCGGGGGCCAAATCCGGCCCGTGACTTCATTTCATGCGGCCCCGCAAGACCTTGCAAAGAATATGTTTATTATATGGTTACATGTCGATTTACAGAAGCACGTTGCCCATAAACTACATGTCCCACAATGCATCTCAAATATGCCTTTTTCTCAGAATTTGCCTTTTTAAAAAAAATAATTTTGTGACATTCTCACCGAAGAGACTTGCAATTATTTGCCGTAGACTTCTGCTTTCAGACGTAGTTAATTATGGAGTTATTACCCTATGTGATAATAATCCAATGCAGAGGCAGTAATGTAATAAAATATATTATTTTATATATATTAAATATTTATATATGTATTTTTATATTGTCTTAACCGGCCCTTTGAGTGCAAGCATGATGCTAATGTGGCCCGCGATGAAATTGAGTTTGACCCCCCTGGTCTATATTGAGATTCACTTTATCTATGGTGGTTTAAAACTATCTGATGATTAATCACCTCTTTGTGGTTCATGCGTTCTCATATAAAGACAAATATGTGCCCTTATTATGCAGTGAAAACTGAGTAAGAACAAACATCTAACAGATAGAATATAAATCAAAGTGTAAAAGAAAAGCCAAACAATGCAAATCAATTACAGGAACGGCTAACTATTAATAATGTGTCAGGGTGATGACCAAATGATTAGCATTAGAGTTAAAGTCATACAGAGCGGATCCACAAAAGCATGTGGCAGCAGACCGAGGAAGACTCTCAAGCGCTGTTGAACTGAAACCACATGTTATCCACGTCACCCACAAATGTGCACTGATGGAAAGTAGGACTTGAGTGCAATGGCCGTGACCACCATTTTGACCATGGCCATTGGAATTGCACATATATTTATCTCAAAGAAGATAATGGCCCAAACTCTCTTACAAGCCCAAGCATCAGTTTTTCCCACGCTTACAATTCAATTCAAAAGCTGTATTAGCATGCCCATATTTACATACAGTATTGCCAAAGCTCTGTATAGTTGTAACATCTATACAACAATACATACAAATAAGCAAATGATCAGTTATAAACAATTCCAGTTTTTTGTTGGAATACAGATTAATTTCATAATATATTAATACAAAATAGAATATGCTTACAAATCCTTACCCTGGATACGTTTCGCAAAATATCAGTCTTTAGTTATACTTAAAACTCTATTTCATTGTAGACGAAATGCCACAACCAATAGAAAAAACAGTGCAGGTGAGCTGTTGTTGTGAAAGACGGCAGATAAGATCTCTAAAGCCAAATGAAACAGTTTTCTATCTATTGATCTCCAAAATAAGGCAATCCCGTCTTTTAAAGAGCAACCAGAGAATGTCTGTTCGTGTCTCTGAGCATCAACTGTGTTCAGCAGTTTCAAAAGCAGCACTTTATGACAACAATGCCACTATTGAACTATGCAAAGTGTGTCTTAAGTTGCAGTTTAAGTGTGTGAGCAATTTAGAACAATTATATCGAGTGAGTAATGGATGAGCTCCTAATCTGTGTATCGTTATATGTCAGGATTGTTTGTAAAGTGCTGCCTGTTTAGTGTATCGCTCCTTTCTCTGTGTGGTGTCTGTGGTGTTTGCTGACGTGTGTGTTGCATGTTGCATGCTGGGAGCCGGGTGAAATAAAGCTGACTGATCCAGCACCTCATGGCGATCGATGGGGAGCGGGACAGGACTGCTGCATTCACACAACTTCTCTGCTTACTCGACATGTTTTCTTTTCACACGTCTGCCCTCCTCTCTTCCCTCGTTTATCCCTCACCGCTGACACATGGTCAGAGCGAGGAAGTAGTGGAGTACAAATACTTTGTTACTGCACTTAAGTACTGTACATTGTTCTGGTATCAGTACTTTACTCCACTACTTATTTTTCTGATGACTTTTTATTTCGACTTCTTACATGTTGAACTCAAATACCTGTACTTTCTACTTCTTACATGTTGAACTCAAATACCTGAACTTTCTACTTCTTACATGTTGAACTCAAATACCTGAACTTTCTACTTCTCACATGTTGAACCCAAATACCTGAACTTTCTACTTCTTACATGTTGAACTCAAATACCTGTACTTTCTACTTCTCACATGTTGAACTCAAATACCTGTACTTTCTACTTCTTACATGTTGAACTCAAATACCTGTACTTTCTACTTCTTACATGTTGAACTCAAATACCTGTACTTTCTACTTCTCACATGTTGAACTCAAATACCTGTACTTTCTACTTCTCACATGTTGAACTCAAATACCTGTACTTTCTACTTCTTACATGTTGAACCCAAATACCTGTACTTTCTACTTCTTACATGTTGAACTCAAATACCTGTACTTTCTACTTCTTACATGTTGAACCCAAATACCTGTACTTTCTACTTCTTACATGTTGAACTCAAATACCTGTACTTTCTACTTCTCACATGTTGAACACAAATACCTGTACTTTCTACTTCTTACATGTTGAACTCAAATACCTGTACTTTCTACTTCTTACATGTTGAACTCAAATACCTGTACTTTCTACTTCTTACATGTTGAACTCAAATACCTGAACTTTCTACTTCTCACATGTTGAACACAAATACCTGTACTTTCTACTTCTCACATGTTGAACACAAATACCTGTACTTTCTACTTCTTACATGTTGAACTCAAATACCTGACTTTCTACTTCTCACATGTTGAACCCAATACCTGAACTTTCTACTTCTTACATGTTGAACTCAATACCTGTACTTTCTACTTCTTACATGTTGAACCCAAATACCTGTACTTTCTACTTCTTACATGTTGAACTCAAATACCTGTACTTTCTACTTCTTACATGTTGAAACCCAAATACCTGTACTTCTACTTCTTACATGTTGAACTCAAATACCTGTACTTTCTACTTCTCACATGTTGAACACAAATACCTGTACTTTCTACTTCTTACATGTTGAACTCAAATACCTGTACTTTCTACTTCTTACATGTTGAACTCAAATACCTGTACTTTCTACTTCTTACATGTTGAACACAAATACCTGTACTGCAACTTCTCACATGTTGAACCAAATAACCTGTACTTTCTACTTCTTAACATGTTGAACACAGAATACCTGTACTGTTCGACTTTCTTACATGTTGAACTCAATACCTGTACTTTCTACTTCTTACATTTGAACACAAATACCTGTACTTCTACTCTACATTAACCAATACCTTGTACTTGCTACTTCTTACATGTTGAACCCAAATACCTGTACTTTCTACTTCTTAACATGTTGAAACTCAAATACCTTGTACTTTCTACTTCTTACATGTTGAACTCAAATACCTGTACTTCTACTTCTTACATAGTTGAACACAAATACCTGTACTTTCTACTTCATGACTGTTGAACTCAAATACCTGTACTTTCTACTTCTTACATGTTGAAACACAAATACCTGTACTTTCTACTTCTTACATGTTGAACTCAAATACCTGTACTTTCTACTTCTTACATGTTGAACCCAAATACCTGTACTTTCTACTTCTTACATGTTGAACCCAAATACTGTACTTTCTACTTCTTACATGTTGAACTCAAATACCTGTACTTTCTACTTCTTACATGTTGAACACAAATACCTGTACTTTCTACTTCTTACATGTTGAACACAAATACCTGTACTTTCTACTTCTTACATGTTGAACACAAATACCTGTACTTTCTACTTCTTACATGTTGAACTCAAATACCTGTACTTTCTACTTCTTACATGTTGAACCAAATACCTGTACTTTCTACTTCTTACATGTTGAACTCAAATACCTGTACTTTCTACTTCTTACATGTTGAACTCAAATACCTGTACTTTCTACTTCTTACATGTTGAACACAAATACCTGTACTTTCTACTTCTACATGTTGAACACAAATACCTGTACTTTCTACTTCTTACATGGTGAACCAATACCT